ATACTGTGTCCAAAGCTGAGTTTTAGTGCTGTTATGTGAACTTTCTGCAAGTGATTAAAAAGAGCCTTTCTAGCCAGACTCCAGTAGGATCGAGTCTCAATTATCAGTTTCACTGCGATTTTTTTGGGGTTTCCCTGTTACAAAGAGGTACCTACTCCTCCTCCTCCAGGGCTGTTTCACTAAGTCTCAGCATCATCATCCTCCCTAACTCAGATCTGGTTTGCCATCCATCGTGGTCTAGCCATCTGTACATGCAAAGATCTTCCGAAACATCCCTGTGAACCATTAAAAAAAAAGCGATTTTTTTGGGGTTTCCCTGTTACAAAGAGGTACCTACTCCTCCTCCTCCAGGGCTGTTTCACTAAGTCTCAGCATCATCATCCTCCCTAACTCAGATCTGGTTTGTCATCCATTGTGGTCTAGCCATACATGCAAAGATCTTCCAAAACATCCCTGTGAACCATTAAAAATAATAATAATAATAAAAATTGCTTTATTCAGTTGGATGTTTCTGTGATGTTTGTTTGTTGGGCAGCGGTGAGTGAGGTGCAGGTGGTGCTGAGGGGGGTGTTATGTTGTGTTTGGTCCCTGGACTGGTCTGTAGATGGAGGAGGAGAAGCAAAGCCTGACATCTGAGCGTGCTGGTCCAGCACAAAGCGTGTCCCAGCAGGTTGGTAGCCTTGGTAGCCCTTCCCTCCCCCTGGCACGTGGAGATGGTGACACCAGCTCACGGGCAGATGCTGCATTTGCTGCTGGTTTCACATCTGCCGGGGAAGGAGGTGACAGGAACAGCTTCACCTTAAACTTCCCAAACCCCAACGGGCTTGTGATCCTTTCAAACCGCTGTGTAACACCCTGAAGTTGGTAACTGAATTGTTCTTGATTTATAAAAGCTAAAATAGGATTAAGATGGCAGTTAAAAAAAGGAAATTAAGCTGCTTGATCTTTTCCAGAGAGTTCAGAAACCCCTGCTTTTGTCTGAGGCTGTAGTAAAAACATTTAAGTGCTTAACTTGGGAGAGCTCTGGGATACCAGTAGTGAGCTCCGGAGCGTGGCTGAATGACTTAAAGAGACTTGCATGGAATAAATAAGATTCGTTTTTTGTGACTGTCATTAGGGTTGGCTGGAAAGGATTATTGGAGCTGACTGGAAGCAGATGTTCCCCAGTGCACTTTGGAGGGGATGGGTCTGGGTGCCAGTCGGGCCTCACCACACGGGAGCAGGAGAAATCGAAACGCCGTATAAATGATTCTTGGCTGTTTTCCGTGAGCTCCTGGGGTTGCTTCATGGAAGTTCTTGTTTTGGGGTGAGAGTAACGGGTTGCAGCGTAAGTAGGGAAAGGCAAACAGAAACTAAAAGGATGTGTGAGTTCCTGAGACGCTGATTTACACACTTGGACCTTGCCCAGCGCCTGCGGAGAGCGGGGCTCCCGAGCTCTACCTTACTCTTTACCTTACTCTGGCTGGCTATTTGTGTAGCCAAGAAGCATTTTTAATAGCAACTTGTGTTAATAAATTACCATTTCTGGTGCTGCTCAAAGTAGGGTGATGTCCTGGTAGGTTCTGTAACTTCAGTCTCCTGTCAGTTGTGTGACACTACATGAATTTAATTGCCGGTAGCATGGTTTAAGGTACGGATACTGGTGTGTGATGCTGGGGTGCTGCTGGCCCCAAAGTAGGTGTCTTCACATTGAACGGATAATATTTGGGGGAGCTCATCTTGTTTTCATCACAGTGTTTTACTATACCACAAGAAAATTTGTAGTCTATATTATTTTGAAATAGGTGAATGTGATTTTTACTATAAGCTGCTTTGGCAGTTTGGGTGAAGCTTTCCAAGAGAACTACACAAAACTACCGGGGAAGGGTGGAGAAGTTGTTGAACCTGATTGAATGTTTTATGATTTATTTTTTTTTCAAAGAGTCACGCTTCCCTGCAGGTCAGAAAGAAGGGAAAATGAGAGGAGCTTCTTGCAGCTGATGCGAGCGTGAGCCTTCGTGCTCGCGCAGCGATCGCTTCAGCGCGACAACATGTTTTCAATTGGATACGAATGTGTGAAGAATCTGAACAGGGTGTTTTTGTGCATTAGCACAAGTTGAGGGATGGGCACAGACTCAGCGGTGAAAAGCTGCTTTCCCTGCCTTTAATTGGCACCACGTGGCCCTCGAAGGAGAGAGTGAAGGAACAGTCTGTCAGCCCCGGTGTAGAACCAGGTGATTTAGCGTTCGGGGGCATCCCTAGCTGTGTTTTTGGGTGTGCTGAACCAAGGCAAAGCTCTTACTGGAAATTCCCTGAGCAATTTCATCTCTCTGTAGGTGTCTATACGCTCGAGCGTATCACTTTCCTCATCTTGACCTTTTGATAGACTAAGGATCCTTTTTTTGCCATCGCTTTGTTATTTAGATAATGAATATTTGGGGATTACCAGTAACGGCAAAAATAGTTGTACCAATTATTGGTGTGTGCAATGGACACGGCCTTTTTGCACCCTGGTAATTCATAATCTAAAATATGTGTTGGGAAGGAGAGTATCGTGTTTTGCAAGTCTAAAAATGCTGGTCTGGAAACTCCCAGAATCAAACATTCGTAATTCTAAGTGCTCTGGTTCTAGAAATTGAAAAAAAAATACCCTGGTGTTATGTATTGTTTAAACTGCGGCGCTAAATCACTGAGGGCAGTGTGAGGGTCACAACGAGGGAGAAAGTCAGCTCAGTGCCCTGAGATAGTAAGAAGTAAAATATGTCAAAATATGTTCTGTTGCTGCTGTAAAGCTTAAGTGGAGTTTTACCAGACCTGGCGGGGTGGTAGGGCTCGATCTGCCGAGGCATCGTAGTTCAGTGAAGAAAAGACCTTGACAAATTAATTCATCTTTGGTCTGAAGTTGGTTTTATAAGGTGTAAGAGTTATAATCAATTAAAGGACACTGTAGAGAGGTTGGTGCTGGTCTCTTCTCACAGGTCATTAGTGACAGAACGAGAGGGAACGGCTTCAAGCTCCAACAGGGGAGGTTTAGATTGAACATTAGGAAAGAATTTTTCACCCAAAGAGTGGTCGGGCATTGGAACAGGCTGCCCAGGGAGGGGGTGGAGTCCCCATCCCTGGCTGTGTTTAAGGGCCGTTTAGATGCAGTGCTGAGGGACATGGTGTAGGGGAGGACTTTGTAGAGTAGGGGAGATGGTTGGACTCCATGATCCCAAGGGTCTCTTCCAACCTAGACCATTCTATGATTCTAAGCCTATTTATGCTTTAAATATAAGTTTGATAAAAGTAAATTTAAAAATCAAGCAAAGTGTTTCATTGCTGATGGTGTTATTCAGGTCTCTCCAACATCAAGTGATCTTGCTGTGATGGAAAAAACACCGTCTGTGGACCAGGTTTTCTGAAAGGAAGACGCTCCAGCTCCTGATTCTCCTGTTGTATCGTAACAGAATGGGAAAATTGACTTGAAAAGGCTAATTCTTCCAAACTTGCAGTCTTTTTGAAATGAGGAATCTTGCAGCGGGGAGCGGGGCTGGGAGGGCAGGGCCACCTGATGGAGCTTCTGATAAAGGCGTAGGAGAATGTGGGATCCCTGTGGAGGTTCTTGCTGAGAGATTTTCCTCGGATGTCGATCACGTCCAGTTGAGTCACAAACGCAATTAAGCAATAAATGACACCGTGAATCAAGTTTTCCTTTGCTTATCTTTTCAATCTATCTACAAAGGTGAATTAGAAAATCCAGGTTTCGGTGCTCTAAACGTCAGGAAATGGAAACGCGGCTCTCTCTGCAGTCTGGGCTTTCTCATAGAAATGATTAAAATCACACTTAACACGTGCAGATTTTGGCAACTGCTTTTGCGTGGAGCTTCCTCACATGTCTAGAAATGCTGCAGTGAAGCCCGTCAGAAAAACCTGCTCCAGGCTTTGTCACTGTAAGGTGAATTTGTGCGGTGACTCCTCAGCATCTCCCCTCTCGGGGGCTGCAGTTTAGAAGCAGTTTCGGGTTGGAAGGAGGTTTGGGAGCCGAGCTCCCTCCCGCCCGGTCCCTGGGCGATGGTCTGAGGACACCTACTGGGCACAGCACTTGCTTCAGCTCCTGCTTTAGACTCTCCATGTGCAGCTACAGGAGCCATCGACGTTTTAAACGAAATTCTAGAAGGATGACTTGTGTAAATCTACAGCCTAAAGGAATAAATGCACCGTTTCTGATTTAACTCATTGCTCTTCTTGGTCAACTTGATGCTTACGGTTGTGTAAATCTACAGCCTAAAGGAATAAATGCACCATTTCTGATTTAACTCCTTGCTCTTCTTGGTCAACTTGACACTTAATGGTTCATAGAATGGTTTGGGTTGGAAGGGACCTTAAAGCCCATCCAGTGCCACCCCCTGCCCTGGGCAGGGACACCTCCCACCACACCAGGTTGCTCCAAGCCCCCTCCAACCTGGCCTTGAACCCCCCCAGGGATGGGGCAGCCACAGCTTCCTTCCAGTCAGGCAATTAACGAGCAAACTCCTTGCTCTTCTTGGTCAACTTGACACTTAATGGTTCATAGAATGGTTTGGGTTGGAAGGGACCTTAAAGCCCATCCAGTGCCACCCCCTGCCCTGGGCAGGGACACCTCCCACCAGAACAGGTTGCTCCAAGCCCCCTCCAACCTGCCCTTGAACCCCTCCAGGGATGGGGCAGCCACAGCTTCCTCCCAGTCAGGCTGTAGGACAATTAACGAACGCCTTGTCTGGGGATCTCAGAGCTCTGCTAAAGTCACACTGGTTTGATTGTGGATGTTTCCTTTGGTTTTACATAAGAGTGTGTTTGTTACAGCTCCTGCAGTTTCCAACTAGGTCAGTAAAGTGTCCTTGTCCCTATTCTTTGAACAATCAGCTCCCTAAAGCCAGACAGTGTGATAGCAATTTTGTGATTAATGCTTCCAGCAATTATGAAGTGGAAGGTCTTAAATTACATTTGTTAACTAAGACCTGTACCTGAAACATGAAGTGACTTTGTCTTCCTTGTTGCAGATCCATAACATGGTGGCAGTGCTGGAAGTCATCTCCAGCCTGGAGAAATACCCCATTACCAAAGAGGCACTTGAGGTACGTCACCCCCAAAATGTCACTTGATTTTTGTGTGTATGAAAGGACGTTCTCTGCTGGTCTCATTTCCATAAGAGCTTTTCTTGAAACAGTAGATTGATTGCAAAGGATTCACAATTAAGGTATTATTTGTCCCTGTGACATCTCGGTGCACACACAGGGATTATTTTGGGGTTCAGATCCCCGTTCCGTGCAGCCCCTGTTTGTGTGGGGCTCAGAATTAATCAGTACTTGCTGCCAATTAATTCTGTAGTATTAAAATGTCACTCTTCTTCCTGAGGTACCTGTCACCTTCTTAGATGTTTGGTGACTGAGCATGGAATGGGAATAGAGTTACTCTGTGTCTGTAAAATTAATCCTTAATTCCGTTAAGCAGGTTTCGATGCCTGATCCAGTGGGTGAGCTGAGGTGTAGTGAGAGGGGAAGCATCAGGAGGGGCAGCAGCTGCAGCCTCACTGGCAAACAGAACCCAAAAAAGCTTTTATGGCTAAATTATAAAACTTTTTTTCCATCTTTATATTGAAATTATTGGTGTTACTTGCTTTTAACTCTTGCTTAACTCCAACTCCAGCTGTATTTCAATGTATCACAACACGTTGCCTGTTTCTCTCACAATCTGGTCCATGTTTTCCTTTGAAGTGCTTTTCTGAAATGTGACTTGTGGAGCAATTCTTTGCTTTTAAAGGTGTTTTGGGGACGATCAAACACTTCCTTCTGCTTACGAAGCTGCTTTGGGACACCCTGGGAATGCTTGGTCTTTCATAGGCTTTCAGGATGCTGGGGAGTGGAGGGAGGGGAGAGATGGAGGAAGAAGGGGGGGCCGTAAGTCACCCCTGGCTGGGCAGCTTTGGGAAATGGAGATTTTTATTGTCAACGTATGACTGTAACAGACAAAGAGGCAGGGATTTCTTTCTCTTGCTTCTTTCTGCAGATCTTACTCTTCCATGGTGATAAAACCACACCTTTTCTGCCCCGGGTGCTGCATTTCCCCTCGAATCGGAGCTTGCACCTTTCTTCTCAGGATTCCTGCTGATTAAAGAACTCCTTTCTGAGGTTTTTCAGAGCTCGTGGCTCTGGTGCTTTCACCAGGGAATAAAGACAGGGCGACTGGAAACCCCCAGCAGGTCTCATGCTGGGTGGCAGAGACTGGACCAATCCTTTCCAAAAAGACTAATTCAACACTTAAATCTTTAGTGTTTTTTAACCGGGTGTTTTTTAGTGTAAGCAATTACAAAGCCAAAATTTCCCTTAAGAATTTTGTTTAGGTTGATACTTGTTTATAAAACTATTTTTCTTTCTTTATAGGAAACGAGACTCGGGAGGCTTATCAATGAGGTGAGGAAGAAGACATCCAATGAGGAACTTGCCAAACGTGCCAAGAAATTGTTGCGGAATTGGCAAAAGTTGATAGAACCCGTCACCCAGAATGAGCCGGTGCCGAGGGGGTTGCCGAATCCACCCGGGTCAGCAAATGGTGGTGCTCACAACTGCAAACAAGAAACGCAACTTCCTGCTGTGGCTGGGTCAAAGCCAATCAGCGAATTGAAAAGCAGGAACGATATACAGAAACTAAATTCTCCCAAAACCGAGAAATTGGGAAATAGGAAAAGGAAAGGTGAACACAGGGACGGGCATCAGGGCCCTCCTCCCCCCAAAGTCTCCAAAGCTAGTCATGAAGTATTACAAAACTCTTCACCCCCTCCAACCAATGGCATTGGAGGTAGTCCCGAAAATTTCCCCAGTCCTGTAGACATAAATCTACACGCGGGGCCCGAAAGCAGCAGGACAGAACTCAGTGAAAACGATAAACACAATAAGATCCCGGTAAATGCTGTAAAACCTCACACCAGTTCTCCAGGACTTGTAAAACCTTCAAGCACTTCCTCGTTACTAAAGACTGCAGTGCTTCAGCAGCATGAGAAATCGGAAGAAACCACCGGCCCGCACCAACCCAAGAGTCCTCGCTGTTCCTCTTTTAGCCCCAGAAACGTCAGGCATGATACTTTTGCTCGGCAGCATACTACGTACTCACCAAAGGATTCCATGCCCAGTCCATCTCAAAGGTCTCAGTTCTTAGATTCTGCACAGGTGCCATCGCCGCCACCATCCTTGATGCAACCCTCCACGCCTCCCCTGCCAGCAAAAAGACTGGAGTTCCCTCAGCAGTCGGTGGCTGAGGTGTCTCAGCACTGGCAGGAGCAGCAGGTACCTTTGGAAAGCCAGCACAGGCACCCGGCGGGGACACTTCAACAGCACACATCTCCTCCCAGCTGCAAAACCAGCTCCCACCCCGGGGAATCGCTCACGCCGCACGGGGGCTTTTCGCAGGACGCTTCCAAAATGGACAGTGACGACGCTGCTTCAGGTTCTGATAGTAAAAAGAAGAAAAGGTACCGACCCAGAGACTATACGGTCAACCTGGATGGGCACGTGACAGAAGGGGGGGTGAAACCTGTGAGATTAAAAGAGAGAAAGCTCACTTTTGATCCCATGACAGGACAGATAAAACCTTTAACACAGAAAGATCCTTTGCAGGTAGAAATCCCTGCGCTCACTGAACAGCACAGGACAGAAACGGAAAAGCAGGAGCAAAAACCCAACCTGCAAAGCCCCTTTGAACAAACGAACTGGAAAGAGTTATCCAGAAACGAAATCATTCAGTCCTATTTAAACAGACAGAGTAGCTTGCTGTCCTCGTCAGGAGTACAGACTCCGGGAGCTCACTACTTCATGTCTGAATATTTAAAGCAGGAGGAAAGCACTAGAAAAGAGGCTAGAAAGACTCACGTTCTAGCTCCTAACAGCAAACCTACAGACTTGCCTGGGGTCACGAGGGAGGTGACGGGCGATGACCTGGACAGAATACGCCAACATAACTGGCCGGGCGTGAACGGTTGTTACGACACACAGGGTAACTGGTATGATTGGACACAGTGCATATCCTTAGATCCGCACGGGGATGACGGTAGATTGAACATCCTGCCTTACGTCTGCCTAGACTGAGTCCCAGTTTGCTAAAAAAAAATAAATGCTTTTACACCCGGCAGTTAGCAAACGCAGGCAGACACGATGCCACTTAACGATGGAGAAAAAAAAAAAAGCCTCCTGTCCTGGACAAACAGGCCCAACGAGCAGAGGGTTGGGAGGGAGTTGGTTCCTTCCAGCTCTTTCCTTTAATAAATTCTCCTTTTGTGAAATGCTGCTACCAGTTTACTAACAATTTGCAAAGGAAGGCATACGAAGGTTGATAAATTGAGTTCAAAACTCTCTAGCGAGCCAGCTATTAAAAAAAAAAAAAGAGAAAACAAAAAAAAAGTGTTAGTCCCCAAGAAGTGAAGAGGATTTCCAGCACTTTCTGAATGCCGGAATCTTATTACAGGCAGGTACAGAGAAAAATTGTGGAAGTTACCTTAACAAAATATGCATCTATTTATTTGACTTGATTTGGGTTTTTATTTGGCAGTGAGATATTGGAGAGACAATGTGCAAAAACTGTAGTTTTTATTTGTATCACATCTCTGAAAACATGATTGCGTTGGTTTTTTGGTTGTTTTTTTTTGTTTGTTTTTGTTTTGTTTTGGTTTTTTTCCAAGTCATGTGGTACGGAGATTGGGTTTGAACCGGCAGGTGTTGCACTGCAGGCTGGGAGACCAGCTTCAGCTCAACATTCCATAGGCATCCACATATTTTAGTCTGGTTTCAGTTTAAATCCAGTCTCTGAGAAATGCTGCAAAAACTAGATGTTTAACGATATTTTTTGATCCCACCACCACCAGCCAAATATTTTTTCCTCCTTTTCCCTTCCTGCAAACTTCTAGGAAAAAAAGAGAAAAAAAAAAAAAAGAAAAAAAAAATAAAGAAAAAAAGAGAAAAATCACCTTTTCTAGAATCTAAATGTAATGAGGGTGCTACAAGTTTGTAACTGTACTGTGAGAGGGAAAAAGGAAGCCTGTTTGTATGCTGGAAATATACTTGTTACCATTCCTTTAGATATTGTTTGCCTTATGGATATCCATCATAAACGCAATTTGCAAAAACAAAGAGCCTTAGTGAATGTACAGTAACTAGACTTCTGTGTTCTCGGGATGCAGAAGGGAGCAACTTTGCTATTTGGTCCTTTAAGTGGACACATTGTGATATAAATGTGGAAATAAAAAAAAATTTGCACAAACCAGTTTGTGAATTGTTTCTACTGAACTCATTTGGTTTTTTAATCGAGTTGTGCTCGGTTCTGACCAGCTCTCGGTGATCGTCGCCGCCGGGATCCCGTCGGAGCAGGAGCTGGATCCCGATGGACGCTGTGGGAAGCTGCTGGTAGGGATGTAGGAGATGTCTTCCAAGCCCCTTGGGGGGGATTCAGCCACACAGGTTGGATTTCTTCTGTAACCCTGGTTGCATCCAGGGCCCGGAGACTGATAACCCAATCGCTGTTGATGTACCTCAAAGTCTATAAAGGTCATAGCTCATCTTTTTTTTCCTCAGTACCTTTGTAATATACAATTTCTCGTTGTTCAAGTGCTTTTTAAGCAGCCTGGTTTGGTGCAGAAAGTGAAGAATTTCTATTAACTGTAATTGCTTTAACATTTTGGGACTGGTTGTTTTCTGCAGTCCCCGGTGCTGGGCTTCTGGCCAGGGGAGAAGAGGAGGGGACACGATACCAAAAAGTATTTCTAGTTTTTAGTGACATTAACTCTGTTACCCCATTTGTGCTGGATCTCACTTCTGTGAAGAGTTCTCCTGCCTGGGAGAGCAGAGTCAAGCTCTCCTGATTTTAAAAGGGTGTTCCTCGCCGGGCACACATTAAGTTGGTTCATTCCGTGGAATACAACTGATAAGGTTTGGTTTATTTTTAAATCCTTCATGTTTAATCCCTACTGCTTTTGTGATCTGACCAGTATTGCAATGTGTGGGTGTCTCGGAAATTTTCACTGATGTCTGTTTGCTTCCATTTCTGAAAGCTGAGAGTGAAAGCGGAGAAAGTGCTTACCAAAAAAAAAAAAAAAAAAGGTTTCCAAGTATATTTTGAGTTCAGTTCCACGTTGTCCTGCTGCGGTGGAGGAGGTGGAGTGCTGTGCTTTAGCCTTGGGGAAAGCTGTCACTTTGCAATTCAGAAAGGTGGATTTGATGGTAAAGGCCTCAAAAGCTGGTCATTTGGGAAAATTGCCTGGGTTTTGCTTATGTAAAAAATATTGTGCGTCTCCACTCCCCCCACCCCCTCTCCCTTTCCCCGAATGGTCTGATTTAGGAACAGGGTCTGTGCTCTTTGGAGCCCTTGGAATATAGGGTGAATTTCAGGAAATGACAAAAGTATTAACGTTACACTTTTTATAAACCCCATCTTTTCCTCCACCCGCTTCCATTTCTGGTGCAATCGATGGCCTTTGAGGGAGGACCACGCTGGGTGAGGTGATGCCCAAAGCTCCTCAGCGCTGCTGTCAGATTCCATCCAGCTCTGGGGAACGAGCCGAGCGTGCCGACGCTCCAGGGAGCCTCAGGTACCGGAGCCCTTTCCCTGGAGGCACAAAATGGCTGGAGAAATTCGAGAAATTCCCTCCCAAACGCCAGCGTTAACTCTCCTTCCGCACCGAGGTCGGTCGTTCCTGCTGTTAAGGGTCAACTCCCCTGGATGCCCCCAGGGTGAGCCCAGGCTTGACAATCTTTATTTCAGCATGCCAGTATAACCAGTTCTGTGAGCTCCAACAAATGTGAATAAGTTTACAAGGTGATGATATTATTATTTTTTTTTGTCAATTTTGTAAACGAGTTCAAATGAAGTTTGCCATGTGCGTATCTGCTGTGTGCTCTCATTTTTGCACGAACCCACTTTCTCTGCTGCTGCTTTCCTCCCCGACGCAGATCCATCCTCTCTTCACTCCCAACCGCCTCCCAAAATTTAAGTCTTCTAAAATCTTGAAACAGCTGTGGGCTGCCGTGGCTCCTCAGTGGATGATGCGAAACGGCTCATCTGCAAATTTTGTGGGGAATTGCCATTACCTGAAGTGCATGGGGGGTTTTTATAGGTGTGTTAAGGATGTAGAAATGTCCTTTGACAGCGTGTGTAGATGGAGGAGGCTCTGGACCCCCCTCCTGCTTGCCCAGTGCTCGCTCCCCCTGGGCACAGCAGCGTGAGGGGCCCTGGAGCGGAATTGCCATTACCTGAAGTGCATGGGGGTTTTTTTATAGGTATGTTAAGGATGTAGAAATGTCCTTTGACAGCGTGTGTAGATGGAGGAGGCTCTGGACCCCCCTCCTGCCTGCCCGGTCCTCGTCCCCCAGGCACAGTGGCGTGAGGGCCCTGGAGCAGGACAGTTGTCTCCTGGAGCGGGTGACCTTGGCTCGGTCGCTGCCTCAGCCCGTTGCTGTCCTGAGGTGCCCATTGCCCCCTCAGGGCCTGCCTTCCCTTGGGGCTACGCTCGGGCTGTAAAACCAGAGCAGAAATGAGAGTTTGGGGTTAGAAAATAGATATTATTTGGGTTTTTTGAGCATTTTTTTTCTCCCCTGCGCTACTTCCAACGGCCTCCGGGCCTCAAGTCCCCCCGCTCCGCCGCCCTCACCCACCCCCGCGTCGCTCCGAGCCCGCCCCGAGGTGCCGGTTGGGCGGGAGGAGCCCTGGGCCCGGCGGAACGGTGAGTGTGGGGCGGGAGGGCCCCTCGGCGGCGACGGGGGGGGGGGGGGT